CAGCATGAAAGGCCACTGGGAGCTGAAATCAGGCTCAAGGGAGCTTGGGGAGCATTTAATGCCAGAGCTTGACCATCAGCTCAGAATCTACTATTATTAATATGAGCTGCAGTATTTCTAAGATTGCATTTAAATAAATGGAGCAAACCAAAATGACATTTATACTGAAAGGAGACACCAGGACAGAGTAAGTAGCTAATAAAGAGCAGTGTAGATTGGGCATTCAATATGTGGTGGAAGTTGCACACCCTTCCTGGAAGGAGCTGTCTGCAGTCCTTTGGTAGTATTTTCTATCATATTAGTTCTGTTTCTGAATTCGCCTGGGCTCTGTTCTTGTACACTAACCCCAATTGTGCTCCAGGGTGTTCCTGCAGTTGTAGCATAAAGGATGACTTCTTGTATCCAGCACCTTTTTGCATGGGTGGAGTGGAGAGCATCTCTCCGTGAACCTTCAGCTTGTGCTTCTCCATGCTGCTTCCTCTCAACGCTCTTCTCTCTTTGGCGCTGCCTAACTCTGACTCTGGCTGTTCATGGGGTTTTCCTTTGTGCTTGATCTAACCATGTGGTAGAACAATACAAATTGAACATGGTTCTGTCAAGCACCATGGAAGGCTGCATACTCCCTGCCGCATGGCATGCTGGGATACTTCTGCTGTTTTCAGAAGCATCAAAAGGTGAGAGATTCCCCTTTTCTCACAGGAAAAATGAAAAAAGTGAAGTGTTGCTTAACCAGACTCTCGGGCACTGCAGGGGGGAGCCCTAGTGATGTTTGTGATAGACTTTACAGAAGGCTTGCATGCAGAATAACCATTTCTAAGTAATTAATCTGTTTAATTGCTCTTAGAATGAAGAAGTTAGGCATCCTGTTGATTAATATGATTCAAGGGTGATTCCAGCCATACCTACAGAGATGAAAAATCATTTTTGTCTTCTTACCTTGTAAATAATGTAAGCTACATCGCTCTACTTGAGCTGTGCGGTGAGTCCTTCTACTTGAGGTACACTTTGAATGCCGATTCTGTAACAAGATGCCTGCTACCTAAAGTGACTTCGGACCTGATCTGAGCTATCTTAATGCACTGGCATTTCATGGTGAAGTATACTGCAAAAGAATTTCAGAAGAGCCTGCAAAGCATTATCTTTTATCTCTTGAAATAACATGGGTAACGTGGCCTGTATGAAAACAGTATTATCCAATAGTTACATAGCACAAAGCTGAGTCATCATACCCAAATGGGCCGTTTTAGCTTTGACAGTTTAGATAAGATCTTTAACATACTTCTGTCTAACTTCCCCCCTATGTAAAGTAGAGATAATTACACCTATTCACAAGGGACTTTGAGAGCCTCATACAGAAGTTTTCTTAGACAGAAATGCTGCCTCATCTTGCAAATTTGTTACAAAGCTGTTGCGGAGCCATCAGAAGAAGGACATCTGAGATTCGTAGGTTTTCTCTGTTTTACTGATAAGAATTGATACTTACCGATGTGAAATTATGACAAACAATGTACCTCCTTTTTTTCCTGAAAACCACCTATGAGAATTGTGATCTAGTGGTTACTTGAAGAAGTGAGTGTTGGGATTCCTGTTTTTTTGTCCAAGATTTAGACCAAGTGGTCTCTGTGATCATATTTTTGGTGCCAAATTTGAGGCAGCTGGATCCATCTTTTCTAGAATGAATATATCAGGTCAGTATTCAGGCCCCTGTTGAGACAGTTTAATTTTTTCCAGAACAGATCATCCAGCGCTCCTTTTAAGTCCTTTGGGCAAAGCTAAGTTTTACAAACTGAAATCAGGTTTGCTAAACAATGCTTAAAAAGAAGAATAGGACAAAAAGGTATTTGTCTCTGTTGCTTAATTTCTCCATGTGGGTATTAGAAAGGCACCTAAAATTTTTTGTGGTGTTTCTTTATCTCAATACTGCTCTTTTGTAGAATGGCATGTGTGTTTGTTTTATGATACTGAGGAATTGCAATGCCCTGGTACCTGATACTGGTGTCACATAGGTTGTGAAATGAAAATATTATCAGTGTAACTAGCAATTCAGATAAACACAGTTGCCCTCAGTTAAATACAGGCCTTGCTATTGCCTTGGCTACTCATTTTACAGCAAACTTAATTCTTCTTAATTTTGGAAATTACTAGAAACTCCCAGGTCATGTTTTACATTCAGCCAAGCTTCACAGAGTTCTCAGCTACAGTGCAGACATGCTTTCAGGTATATAAAATGACCAAATGGCTGGTCTGGAATAGTAAAATGAAGCCAAGTGTTTCTTCTGTGCGTGTCCTGCATCTCTTTTCCATGGCTTTCCACAGGTGATATTATAGCATGCAAGAAGTACTACATGCATGTGATGGTTAATTATACTTCCGGAATCCTGTCATGTTCACTCAGAGCCCTGCAGTAGTACACTGATAAAGCCCTGTGTGTAGAAATGGATATATGCACTTAAATAGTTCTGCAAGCAGATGGCTGAATTTCACATTAGTATCCCAGATAGGAATATCTTAATAGAGCAGCCACCTGTCCAAGTGATCTCAAGACTCAGGTCAAATAGTAAATAGTATTATCTAGTCTTTGGCAGGTGATTCTTGCTGTCTCACAGTCTAATGGATGACTGAGTACTTGCTGAGTATATACATGCTATTGATTACTTTTGACTCAGTGCTTACCTGAGTAACTCTTACTTAAACTCATTTAGAAGAAAAAAAAGGAAAAGGAAAAAAAAAGCAAGAGAGAGAGAGAGAGAGAAAGAAAAGTACGAAGGTGATGTTTTCTGAGCTGAGCTGAGAGGGCTTTCCCCTGTTGCAAGTGTGGAGCCAGTGGACTGATGCCCAAGCAAGATCAACTTCTTATAGCTGATGCAGTGTGGAAAGTTGTATGCCATCAAGAGAGTGAGACTTCTAAGTCAAAATGTGGTAAATATACTTTATTTACTTCGCCAGAATGCTTGAGAGAAAAAGAAAAACTGATTTTCACCCTCTAATGTTATATACCCCTTTTTCTCCTTTGTAAAGCATTCCACTTACTTTCCCATCCTTCTCTTTTTCCCATAGGAAGATGAATCTTGTATCTATCAGTAGACTAAAAATTATACTTAATAAATTTTTACTCTGTGTAACTTCATGACGTTTGTGATTATTCTTTCAAAGAAAGCTTTTACAATGAAGATTAGAAGTGCTTCTTCAAGGGTTGATTTGAGGCCTTCCAAGACACTTTCTGATCACTGAAAAATTTTGCTGGGTTTTTCAAGGCATACTGTAATTGTGGCAGTTTTAATAAACTCTGGTCCTGATAACTGTTCATCTTTAGCTTTATTTCCAAGGAATCATAAACAACCAAATGTACTGTCTCATAGACCTAAGAAAGAATAGCTGTATGTTCTTGTAATCAAGCTGTAATATACTCATCACTTGACACTTTAGCCTGACTACCAAGCCGGGAATTTTTAGGACTGGAAATCAAATGGGGTTTTTTGAAAGAGTTTAAATGATGGTGGTGTGGGGAAAGGCTTAGAGTGTATTTTTATAATACTTTAAAATGTCCTGTGGTCCTAATATTTTAAGTGCTGTGCTGTCACGCTAAAAAACAGTAGCCAAGTCTCACTTTAGATGTGTAATTTACAATAATCATGATAACCTGCAAAGTATTTAGCACCACAGAAGTGGTAATTTACAAAGCGGTACGTGATGTTTCTCATAGTCTAGTTCAGAATTACAAAACTAAACTGAAGTGTGTCTGTGGAATCAAAATGTTAGATTGCCTACAGAATTGTTTGCTCTCACTGCATCGCCCTGTGGAGGTAATGTGTAACATAAATTAAAATAATAGTGGGTTTAGGTGACTTCTTTTTTCTTACAGAAAATAGTATGCGGTCATAAAATGAACAACGGTATATTTATCAGTCTGGGAAGGGGAAGCAGGTGAAGAATCTCATCAAATCTCCAAAAACAAATTTCAGCTTAGGTTTAAGTTTTTATTGATGTTTTCAGGTTCTTAAAAACCGAACTTGCTCAGATTATTCCCGAGAAAGCCTTGCAATTGCTTTTTAAAACTCTGGAAAAGTTAGAAAATACTTCTTGGTAGTTATGATCACTGGGCATTACACAAGGTTTCTGAGACAATTCTGGTGCTTCCATTATGAAATATGAAGTGAGTGGGCAGGTATTGCATGGCAGGGTCTTGGCAACACTTTGCTTATATACACATTTATTAATACTCCTGGTTCCTTGAAGCAGAGAGATCAAGTTTCCAACCTGCTGTTATTAAAAGAGAAAAAACAAACCTGAAAAGGACAGATTCATTCACTGAGCCTAATTGGAAAAGCATTTCATTAGAACGGGTCAAAAACCTAGTCAAAGAGGTCTGGCAATCATGGTATAATGGTACATTAGGGAGTGCTTCTCTCTAAGTATGGTCTACCCATTCCTTAATTAAAATGAAATGATTTAAACTGCTATTACTTTCCTCTGCTGTTTGTTTAACATAATTAATAAAGGTATCTAATTGTTGGAAAAGTGACAAGGTTCTCTTATAAAAGATTGCTTTCAAAAATAATTCTAATAGCTGAGGTCTGAAAATTTTGGGCTTGTTAATGACGTCTTTAAAAATCCTTTGTCATTTGAATGCACCAAGATAGCTCCTGCTTTCGTGATCCGTTTTCCTTGTTGCTGGACTAAGTTCCAAATGCAAAAAAGTGACTTTGCTGGAGCTTCTTTGAAGCAGACTCCAACAGCTAATTAGACGTGCTTCAAAAAATACCTTAACGGGTAGGCTTGTTAGACAAGGAATTGATCTATCAAGGGAAGAGTGAAAAAACAGAGGCTAGTCTTGGGAGTAATTTGAAAAACTGCTGAACAAAAATCTTTGGCAAGTATTAAAATTGTGTGCAGGAGCTGGGAGCTGGCAGGAGGCAGTGTTGAGAATAGATGCCATAAAATCTCTGATTGCTACAGTTATCAGGAACTGTTTGCTGGAATATATTTTCCTTTTATTGCAGGGTCAGAGGATTACAGAAGTAAATTCACCGGGAAGTGTTTCATGGACCTTGTCTGTCCTGAGAAGTGTCGCTGCGAGGGAACAGTTGTAGACTGCTCTAACCAAAAACTCACCCGATTACCCAGTCACCTTCCTGAATATACTACTGATCTGTAAGTGCTGGCTCTCCAAGCTGTGCTCAGCAGGATGTGTTGGTTTTCCTAGTTTTAAAGGCTGTAAAAGGGACTCAGACCAATTCAAGGCACCTCCTACTTTACTCCCTGTGTGAAAAAGAGGAAGTTAATTTTATTTCAAAGGAGCACCACAGCTCTCTTACTGCCTTAGTATTCATGCCAACTGTGGAGATGAGGAAGGAGCCATGGCTCTGTGCATCAGCTGCCTGTGTGTTTTTTTGAAGTATTGACCCATTATATGGCCCAAGCTGTATGGTTCCTTTCCATTCTACCTTTGAGTCCTTTGCCTTTGTGTTCGGTCATTTTTATTTAAGAAATGGATTAACCCTTTTGAGTTAAATCTGTGATCAGGAACTCATTCCGTCTCAGCAGTGCCTGCTACTTGGGTGAAATGGCTCTCACTAAAGCTAATGTATTGTTAAGCTATAAGTGATTTTATGAAATTTATTTGCTTTTAGAGATTCTTAGGAATTATAAACATATACTGCTAAAGAGAGTGTGAGAAAACATGTTCAGTACTTAGTAACTTAAGAATCTTGTTCTTTTGTTGTATTAGTAGCCCCTTCAAACACAATTCTCTTTTTGTGTTAGTAGTCTCTTTATTGTACTTAACGTTTCTTGTTTAAACCCCCATAAAAATTGTTGATCCTGAAGTTAAGATAGAAAAATATGAGAGACAGACATCCAGAAACACAGCAAAGTCTCTACATAGAGAAATGGAGCTACATGTAATCAGAGAAAGAATTTTGCGTCTCAAGCCTGCCAAGACAGTGGTCTTTGCATTAGTCTTGGAGACCAGTAGACTTTGATGGGAAAGGACCTGAAATCAGATCCCTTCTGTTTACATGGACCACATCTCCAATTTCATGAGTTCTGTAGCAGAATGCATGAGGGAGGTTTAGTCATGCAAACAAGGCTTTTTAATGGTTAAGGTTAATAATCCCTTATCCTGTGCATTGGAAGAAGGCGGCATTCTGACACTGTCCTTTGGCATTACACTCTTAAAGGCCTCCTAAGCTTTTACTGTAGATAGTCTTCTATGTTCCCTTTCCTTCAAACCTAAACTCTTTTCACTCTAGGAGGCTGAAAGAGATGGCAAATAGTGTCTTGCTTAACAAAGGTCATAGTTCTCTGTGTGGCAGCCCTGTATGTCACAGAGATATTTCTACAGACATCTGTGAAGCATTAAATGTTTTTTTGTTTGTTCCTATCAGGCGTTTGAATGACAATGATATTTCTGTTTTGGAAGCTATCGGACTCTTCAAGAAATTGCCCAACCTCAGAAAAATGTAAGTTTGAGTCACTTGCTTGTTAGAATACATGCTGTCTTGGATTATAAGGAAAGAAGAAGGGATAATTTTTTTTATATTTTAGTACTGCAGTAGCAGAAATCACTTTTTCAATGTGAATTTAAGGAAACCAAATGAGTTGCTTGTTTAGATGGACAGGCCCAGTTAAACCACAGTGACAGATAAAGATCCCTAGGCTGACATTTCAATATTCTTTAGGCTACATTTCTTAAAGTCTTCAACTCACAGAGACTGAAGGGAATTCTGTCCCGGAATTTATTCAGATGTATGCTTGTTATTAGAGATGGCTAAAAAGTTTAGCATTTTCATTTTGTCTTTTGAATGTATTGCATGACTCCAACTAGTGTGATTGTTTCAAATAGTCAAAGGAAAATAATATTATAAGATATAGATTACAAGGAAGATTCTTTTGATCATTATTGTTTTAGAGAGGAGAATCAATTAGCTAATTTAGAGATCAGTCATTCAAATATATCTGTATAATTCTGTTAACAGTCTGAGTCCTGGCACTGCACATGTATATATTTAATAAGAGCTGTGTTTTGGAAAGAGGATAATATGTTAGATACCTCCTGATAGTCTCTAGATGGATCTTTCTGAAGTTATCTAAAGTTTTAAACCTATGGTCCCATTGCTAATGTCTCATCTAACTGTTTACTTTTAGTAAGATTTTATTGCTGGAGTTAAGGTAATTTAGGGAAACCAACCAACCAGGCTTTCTGTTCTGCGTTTCATGTGGTTTCTGCCATCTGGAGCTCCCTAGCCATTTGAATCTATGTAAGATCTCAGGGGCTTTGGAGACAACTGTAGTGGGATTCTTATGTCAGTTTTATTTCTGCAATGCAGGTTTGAGAGTGGGGGGTATGTTTGTGCATGTACAGGCCACCAGACTTGGGGAATTAATCATATACATTATCCTAGTATTTTATGAATGATCCATAAGTTGTAGCTACAGTGCACTTAGAAAAAGTTGTTGACACTGAAGTGCTCTGTGGTCTATGCAAGTAGGTAGTAAATGGGACTGAAAAATGCATTGTATATAAAAGTATACTCAAATAGAAAGGCATCTGTCCTCATCAAACCTTCAGGATTTATGTTTTGAAAATTGGAGAGGTGTGATGGCTGGAATAGTTTCTTTAAACTTACTGTAGGCAAGTTATGTTGCTGTCCTTGCTGTTCCCATCAGTTACTCAGGTGGGAGGGGTGCCTCGACAGGGCTGTATTGTTATGCATAAATGCAGCATGAAACAGTTACAAGAGGTTATTTGTTTCCGGTGAAACAAAAAATCTTTCTGCTCTGTTCTTGGCAGTCGATGAGAACTGAGGTGTACCGTTGCAGTTCAAACAGATGGCAAAAAGACGTAGTTGTGCCCTACACCTCATAAAAGGTGTCTCTCGTATGGATTTTTTTAGTGGCAGCCTCCAAGCAGAGGTTCTTTAGGTAATCTTTGTGGTTGAGCTAATTTCTTGTGTTCTGCCTGATGTTGTAAAGAAGTATGTCAATTGGAATAAAGGGATTTTCTGAATAGAGTGCTTTTTCATGTAAGCGGAGCAACATTTCAACCATAACCTTATTCAGCAACTTGATCCTTAAAAAGCCAGATTAGACTTCTTTTTCCTAATTCTCCAAGATCCATTTTTTGAAGGCAAGGGGTTATCAGGAGAAAACAAACAAGCAAACAAACACCTCTTTCCTTCTATGTTATTATTTGTCCTTTACTAAGTATCCTTCTGCTAATAATAGGCCTGTCTCCATCATGCAAGAAGGGAAATGTAAGGAAATACCAGTGGATGGGATTGCCGCTGCTAATGGTCCTAATGCAGCAGCTCTGTGTCGGGCAGGAATGTGATGCATGTGCTCTTCATTAAGTCTTACTCCTTACTGCTGCTATTAAATTAAGGAGGAAGAATATTGATCAAATCCCCATTTTTCAGTGTATATAAGGGACAAGAATTTTTACTTTTATTTGATTTGCAATATTGACTCTGTCTCATCATATTCCTTGTCTGTTCAAGTGTTAAAGGAAAACAGCAGGTGGAGGAATCTGTCTGGAAATTGCATTGCTTCCTAGGTTTAAGAAAACAGTTCAGAGCTTTGCAGTAGCAGGCCATTAGCCTCAATCACCTTTTTTTCTTTTTTTTCTTATTTAATCTCTGTAATTTTCTTTCTTCTGAAATGAATCTGAATAACTAGAATCAGGATATCTGAATGCGCATTTGAATGATTGCCCTCTGATTGTCCTTCACTTCAGTTTAACACTAGTGACAGGTCCATGTCAAGGAAATTTGCAAAGAAACTACTTTAAGGGTACCTCGGTTCCACAGTGACTAGTAAAGCTCCAGCATAATTCCAGAGATGATAGAATTAGCTCTTCCTTCCTCTTGATGGGTGTTTCATCTTGGTGCCTCCTCATCTTACATTATGCTTAGGTGTAGCTTTGGTTTATAACATAAACACTCTGAGGGGGTCTGTAAATTGGACTTTAAGGAGGATTCAGATTTTACTTGCGTTCTAAGTATACGCTCATATTTGTTCTTTTGTCACTCAAGCTCTGTCAGTTGTTCATGTTTGTATGTGTGTTGTTGTCACAGTCACAGTCTCTTGGGTTTTCTAATGATGTTCCAAAGGGAAGTACTCACAGATTTGGCATTGACATATTAGGGTTGCTCCAGTGTGTATATGTGAAAATAGTCTTTAATTATACATTCACATAATAATGTTCAGTTGGGCTCTTGTCCCAATCCCTTGCATCTCCTGACTCGGTGCGGTTTCTATTCTCACCGCGTTTTGCCTCAACGTAAGGCTGGTGTCCTGTCCCTCTTGTCTCTACCTCTCTCTAGCCTCTGACAAAACCCCTACCCTTCTCACGCAGGCTCCCCTCCTAGCCCTCACACAGTTACTCCACTGCATTGCCTTGAGCTGTTTTTATAGCCTTCACAGACCTCTCTGGGGCCCCCTCTCTATCCAGCCAAGGACATTACTTCTTAATATTGCCTGGAATTGGTAGAGAAGATACTTGGATAGAGAAATGTGCCCAATCCCAAACTTTGCTCAATCTGTAGCTCTGTGTCCTGCACTGTCTTGAGAGACATGGGAAGATGTCATCTGAAGAAGAATCTGAAGTGAAAAAAACCTCTGGAAAATTAGTTCCTAAAATTCAAATTTTCCAAAAAATATGTCTTGCAGTCCCCTTGGTTTGTGGCAGGAATCTTAAATCTCTTCATTAAAGACTAAAGCTTCAGCCAAATCCTCAGATTTTCACAGGGAAGATGTATCCTTTGAATAAAACACCTATGTGGTAGTTACCAATTAACAAATTTGAAATCGGAATTTCTTGGAGTGTTTCGGGCTTTTCACAAAAAGATTATCAGAATTTTGGGATATGAGAAAAATGGTATTTTGGTTAGCTTTATTTCCTGGAATAGGTGAACTTCCTTCTATTCCTTAGTATCTACCTTCCTTAGTATCTACCTCTAAACATGGAAAGGGCACCTGACCATTCATTCTGTTATATCTTGCAAACGTTGTAAAGTAAACAAAAAAAAGGGAAGTGTCAGACCACCTTTGCAATAGGTGGTACTGCCAATCCCACCTCTAATATTTAATTAGCTTTTGGGGTGTAATTTGTCTGTAAATATTCCTCCTAAGCTGAATCTTATTGTATGATGTGTCAGCCCAGGATTTAATATAGTTTAATGCAAAACAAAATTGAACTCTTGATACAGAAATGTAAAGGTCACAGATCCATAATGCAAAGTTATGCCACATTTTATTTAGGAATTAAATTGCTAAGATTACCCTGCTGGTTTTTAAAAGGTTAATATATCTGCATATGCCTTTTAAAAAAAAAAAATCCACTTCAGTAATTAGCTGCAAAATCCCATATACATAATGCTATTTTCATAACCTAAATTTTAATCCATCTTTATGTTTAATGCTTTTTACCGTAGAATAAAAAGGTTGATGTAGATTCCTGTAGACAGACCTAACCCGGTCCAGAAATAATTTACTGGGTTCTCCAGTGGGTTTTGCAAAATGCCTTGAACTCTGTGTTGCTTTCATTGCGTTCTTACCATATTACCTCGCCTGATCTTACAAGTGTAAAGGTATGACTTCTCTCTGAAAGCTAAAGTCACATTGCAGTGACTTCCAGGCTCCAAGAACTGTCTTGCTAGTGTTCTGCAGGGTGGTTAGAAAAGAGCAATTTAAATCTGCTTGAAGTGCAGGAGAAATACAAGGGCGCATTTCTGAGCTCCATAAGAGTGGGAGCTGCTCCATGACTCGGGTTTTTGGGGGTATCCTACCTCTGTGAGACAGAAAGGCTCCAGGATCTGCTGTCCTCCCACCCTGGGAGCTGGAACCTTCTGCCTTTCACAGAGGAGGATGTTGCCAGTGGGAGATCTTCTCACTCAACACAGCAAGATCTCACATCAGGCAGGGGTGGGGGGTGACACTACCATTCACAGAGGTAAGGTGTTGACTTTTGTGGAAAGGAGCAGTTCTTTGCTCGCAGCAACTACCAAATTCAGCATGAATCAAACACTGGAGACCCCATGGCTCCCTGGGATTACCTCAAGTTGTTAATTGGTGAAACAACCCTCCAGCGCTTGGGGACTCCCATGGCAGTGGTAGCCTGGAGGGGTCTTCTGGCCATGGCAGATAGGTTCAAGCTCCAAAACCCCCTGGGTACCTAACTCAGTGGGAGCAAGGAGATACACCTGCTTACTGAAATGGGATGCTGACCCATAGTGAGAGGCTGCAGGTCCTAGATGTCAGCTCCAGAGCCTGCCCATTGCCTGGTGCCTACGGGAAATCAGTGGGAGTAGCCATTCCCACTGAGGTCCTGGCAGCTGTTTCTGCAGAGAAAAAAATGGCAATGAGCTCCCATTCAAAATAAAAAGGTGAACTTCCATACTTCATGCACTGCTGGGGAGAAAGGGGACTGACCTCTTCTCTTGGAGAACAAGAACAATAAACAATATTTACCTCAAAAACTGAAAGGGACATCTGACGGTTCATTCTGTTAAATCTTGCCAAAGTAACAAAGTGAACATAAAATATGGTCTTATAATAAGAAGTCTCAGGCTGTCTTGGCAATAGCTTGTACTGCCAACCCCACCTCTAGAATATAACTGCCTTTGGAGGCTTAATTTGTCTGTAAATATTTCTCCTGTGCTGAACTGTATGGAGTGTCAGCCCAGGATTTAACACATTTTACATGCAAAATAAAATTGAATCATGATAAAGTTTGCAGACTAGAAGTCAGTTTAAAAAACAGAATCTCAAGTTTCTTGGGGAGGTAAAAGTAGTTTGTGTCCTTGGAAGCAGCTGTTACCTGCTGTTCTTTCCCCTAAGCGTAAGTTTTGCCATGGCAATTGAGTTTGCAGTCATCTGTCACTTGTTATACAGAAACAGACTTTATTTTCTGGAAATGATATTGTAGAGCGTGTTGTGGTACATGGCATTTGGGTTCATCATGTGCCTCCCTTTTTTTCCAGTGAGGCCATCAGTCTGCTCTGCTGAATGAATGTAGGAGTGTCACTGGGTTTCCTTCACTGTCTGTCTGTAGCATTTAAGACTTTCAGTGCCATCCTGCATCTGAGAACAACTCACTCTATAAAAGCCAACCAGACTTGGTAAAAGCTGTAAAACCTTCTCAGCAAACATCTTTCTTTCAGAAGAATGCAACAATATTGGAGTTTTCCTCCTAACCTATGCTTAAAAATTCCAAACACATCACCAACAGACAGAAATATTCTAGGGAAACTCCCACGCAGAACAGGCTGTTTGTATGATAAAACTACAAGATTCCTTTGCAGTTGGACTTGCGCTCTGGTGGCTGTTCTTGTGGGAAGGTGTATCAGTAACACAGCGATGAATGGCATGCTGGAATGTTAAAATTGACCCAGCAGGTACAGCAGGATGAATGGTTCTGTTAAGTCTGAATAGAATCCACCTTCTTCTGTGTTGGTTATAAGATCAACAGAAATAATATTATTATAAAATTTAGCCATAATGTAAATAAAATCTTACTGAAAAGTGAGCTGTGTGAACAATGTCACCTTCATAGCTTCTTAGATCTGTTCATTTCCTATTCACAGCCCCACATAAAGTAAACCCAGGCTTTCTGAAAATTTCTTTTGACCTCTTGCCCAGAATAAAAGTCTGGAGATAGGATTAAACTTTATCACCAGGGTAAATCAAGGAGTCCTTACGGAAATAATAACCTTTCTTGAGTGACCAGGTTCCCATTTGGGTCCTGCCAGAGGGCATAGGTATCTTGGGAAATACTCATTTTCTTTTCCACTGTCTTCCAGTATTTCAAGAACAATTTCTTATACAAGTTTAGCGTTGCAAGAGGATGGGGCTTTTCTATAATGGGAGTTTGCTGTAAAGTCTGTCAGAATTTTTCTTCTGATTAAAAAAATTCTCTGTGCTGTGATCATATATGGAAGATTCTTTTAGTGCTGGGAAGGATGGAGTAGAGCTCTCTGAGTTGCAGAGCAGGGAAAAGTTTCACTGCTTTCATTTTTCAAAGTTTGTATCAGCTGATTATTTTTGCTGGTAATTCTATGCCGAAAAGTATGTAATTTCTTATGTTTATTATTCTAGTAGGTCAGACTTTAAGGAGGATACTTTTTTTTTTTTAATAAGTGCTGTCATCTGCCTTTTTTTTTGTTGTTGTTGTCGCATTCTGATATGAGAAACTTTAATTCAAAATAAAAACAAAGACAAATAAAGAAATCCAGGTTGGCAGAACATCTGTTTTGACAGTGCTGCAAGCGGGATTGCAGGGCAGCATCGTCTTTGCCCATTTATTATTTTAAAGCTTGTCTTTTCCCTGCCTTGCAACTTTGATTTCACCATAGCATTTAATCTTGGATTTTCAAATCTTTTGCATGGGAAAAGTGTGTATAATTGCCTTCTTCTGAAACTGTTAGCATATTTTTGGATAATTTTGTGGTGTTCAAATGATCAGGCATTATTAGTTCAAATGAGTGAAGTTCCCTATCTACAGAAGTCCTTTGGCAGCAAGTAAAATTCAGATGGTTTGGATTTTATAAAGGTGCCAATTCCTTTGCAAATTATGGCCAGCCTTTTTCTCCAATATTTGGGGTTTTTGCCTTGAGTATCTAATCATCCATTAAAATTGCACCCATTTATAAATATATGTGACTAAATATCTTTTAGATGGTAGAAGCTAACTAATAAAACTTTGTAACTGCAAGTATAGGTCAGTTTGCAATCTGTGAATTGAAAGTCAAAGTCTTTGTGTATTATAGTAACTCACCCTCCCTACCCCCTACAAACATTTACTTATTTATTAATTTATTTTTGTGCAAATATGCATCATGGCATGATCTTTACCAGGAAAGGGATCATTGCAAGCAATTATTTATGCCAGCATTCAAAAGAGATGCTGAGCTATAAGCATTTCCACTAGAGAAATAGCTGAGCCCCAGAATTAAATGCATATGTCAGAATATCCTTCCTTGACTTGCTTTGACACTGAACATAAACTCTTCATGCGAGTGTTAGCACAAAGTACTAAACTTCTGGAAAGAAAAATCTGCATGTAAGTATTTCTATATGTTTTTATGTTATTTTTGGCTGATTGCTGGCATACTCCTATTCTTTCTGATCACAGAATGCACAAGAGGTGATGGGCCACATGCTGTAAGGCCCACTATCTGACAGTTGTTCAGCAGACATAAACCAGCGTACTCAAGTTTCCCACATGAAACATATCTCCAAGACTCATCTTTTTTTTTTGTTTGTTTTTATTAAGTGATGACTTCTGCAAAGAGCAAGACCCACATTATTTCTATCTGAGGCCAAGCTATCCTGTTGCTATGTCTTCTGTCAACTTTTATCCCAACAAGATTGCCTGTTCTTCTGAGCAGAGTAGCCCAGGTGTTAATCTGATACCTTGTCATTTGTTTTATATCACCTGGAATTGGATTTTGAGACTATTACTCATGCTGTGTGTGTACTGGGATCATTTCTGGAATAATGTGCTATTCAGTATGAGTAATAGCATTGGAATTTGGCATCTTCTTGGGAGCAAGAGCATATCTTTTACTTTCTCTTTTTTGTTGTAGACAGTAAAACAAAGAATAGTGTTTCCTGTCATAAACCTAAACAAACAGGATTATTCATCATAATCTATACAGGGCGTCATAGGAGATGCTTGAAGGACTGAGGCCCAAGGTTTTAATGTGCTTAAGGCCTTTTATATAAATGTTTTAAATAATTAAATACAATTTATTTTTATGCATCTCTAATGGCATTTTATCATTCAGAAGTGTTCTATTCACTGGGTTTTTCACAAGTATGAAATATTCAAAAGATTAATTTTGCATTTCATCAGAACTTCATTTGACTTTGTAGAATGACGTTTTCCAATGTTGATCTATAAGCAAACGTCTTGAGACTGTATAGGCAGAGTAAATATTTACAAAATAATGCTGTATACAGCAGTAGATGTGAATTGAGAATTAAGTGATACTCATTTCATTTTGAGTGGTGGTGTTAAATTTAAGTGCCTGGGAGTTCATGAGTGTACATGTTAAAATTTGTATCAGATACATGCAGTCACCGTTTTGTATGTTAATCCAGTGTTGAGCTTAAAAAGAGTCAAGGTCCTGGTACACTAAATAAAAGTGGTCCATATTTCAATGTATGGTACCTATTTCAATGGTAGTAACATTAACTGATTCTTGCCAGGTGAGCACCCAGTCCAAGGATGGTCCATAACTTCATGGACAGAAATCAGATGTTAGAAACCCCCATTTATTGTATCTCTGAGAGCCTTATAAGCAAGAATGACATGAGGTGTAAGTTTAATTAAATAAAAGATAATAAATATAAATTAACTTAGATACTTTTGATATATCTGATATGATAGTGGTTTTGATCAGTGAAGGGAAGCTCTTTGTAAGTACAGTAGGTATACTTTTGAACTCGAATGAATGTCTCTCTAGATAACCATGAAAAGGCGTGTATGCTTCCTATCTTCCTCCTTCCAGTGTGATGACGTATGTTCAGAATAAAACAATAATAATTTTCTTATTGTGACTGGTTGTGTCCTTACAGAAATCTAAGCAACAATAAGATCAAGGAGATCCGAGAAGGCACATTTGATGGAGCTTCAGGAGTGCAGGAACTGATTCTGACAGAGAATCAACTGGAATCAGTGCATGGACGCATGTTTAGAGGCCTCACAGGGCTAAAGACATTGTAAGTGCAAAGACCTGTCTTTCTCTGTTCCTCTGTAGGTTGAGTGGGAGTGCTCAGGTTCAGCAATGCCTGCTAAAATATCTGTTACTAGACAACAACCTCTAAGGCAGGGTCTTGTATCACTGTCATGAAGTCTTCAATGTATTTCCAGTCCTGGGTAGGTTTGAGATTTATGAGATTTTCAAGAATTTCAGGAGTAACATGATGGTGAACCTGTCATGGGTCAAATTTGGAGACTTTTAATCATTTGATACTTTTATTATTTTGTTGTTTCCTATGGAAACAAGGCATGTAGGAACATGTTTGCTATCTATCAGTCCATCCTCCCACTCCACCTCCACCCAAACTGGAATTGTTGGTCTGCTTAAACCAAACCTCAGAGTAGGCTAGAAGCCCAGAAGATTTTTAATATCCTACAAACTATATGAAATCAGTAGGTAGGGAGAGAAGAAAGACTCAAGTTATTGTTGCCACCAAAACAGGTACAGCTAAGCAACTTTAAGGCAGGCATAACCAAACTGTTACAGGTCCTGCTGACGGAAGGTAGCTGGCCACTCACTCTGCACCAGGTGTAGGAGCCCATGAGCATAGGCATGGCTTTGGCCTAGCCATAGCATGCTCTTTCTTCCCCATATCAATACCATAAAAATTACGTGTTTAATTAAATTATTAA